GGAGCGGAACAGACGCTGGATCGAAGCGGAGCGGAGCGGAGCGGAATAATCTGTCCAAATCGGGAAGTTACGTTATATGGGTTGGGGCTATACAGTACAGGGGTAATTTGGGAATTACATATTGTACTGTAGGGTTTACTCTAGGATTATAAATAGGCCTGTTTGTAATCCTAAGTTTTTGAGAGAGTTGAATTTTGTATTCTGCATTCTTTTCTGAATATTGAAAAGGAGGTCGCCGCTCTGCTCCCGAGGATGTAGGCATCTTTGCTGAACCTCGTTAAATCTTGTGTTCTTCTGGATTTGTGTCGATTGTTATTTTTCTTCGCCCTAATTTTCTCAACAAGTGGTATCAGAGCTAAGGTTCGAGGGAAGGGAAGAAAATTTTCATCGGCGCAGGGCGGCATATCTTGCACAACGCAGGCGCAGGTTCCAGATCTTCGCACGAAGGACAACTCGGCCGCAGAGGTTTCGTGCCAAGCGCTTTGGATCGGGTGTAGGAGAACGAAGTTCGGGCGTTTTACAGGAGGATCGCAATTCTTTGTTCGGCAGTTCACAGTGTTCGGAAGGCTGTTCGGCGACCGAAAGAATAATCGGCTCGGGAGAAGGAATCGCGAAAATTTCGGCTTCGGCGGAGAAGGCGCTGCTCGGCGACAGGCTGCGATTGGGCAGGAGGAGGCATCGCCGGCTATAAAGGAAGGTTCGTGCGACGCCTCCGAAAGCTGTGCGCAGGAGGAATCGGCGAGATGACTGTTGGAAGCTGCGATAGGCGAGAGTTCCGGGCAGGCGAACCAGAGAGCAAGAGCGGTCGGCGAAGGTTTTGCGCCTCTCGGAAGCTGTGATCGGCTTTGCGCGAGCAGGAGGCATCATGCGGCAGAGGCTGTTCGGCGGGAGAAAGGATTTTGCCTGGTTGCAAGAAGGAAAGGAGGAATTGCAATTTTACTTGAAGTGCAGAATTTTTTCCTTTTGCTGCTGGCTTGCGGAGAGCAAATTTTCACGGAAGAAAATTCGGAACTTTCCATTGTTGCTGGCTCAAGGAATCTTTGAGAGGAGATCTCGCGGAGAAGGAAGGAAAAATTAAAGGAAAGTTTTTTTAATTAAGCAAATTTAATTAAGGATTTTTTTTTGTGGACACGGAGACACGGAGAGAAAATAAAGTTAATATTTGTTTCTTTTATTGGAAGCGGAGTTCACATGTTTGTCGCAGGAGTTGCGGCATGTGCAGTTGCAGCGGAGTTCGCAGTTTTGTCGCAGGAGTTGCGGCATGAGCAGGTGCAGCGGAGTTCACAGGTTTGTCCTGGAGTTGCGGCAGGCGGATTGTTCGCAGGTTTGTTGCAGAAGAATTTGCGACAGATGGAGTTCGGTAGGGTGCTGGCGAGCGAGTAGACGCGATTATTCGCGGACAGTGGTTTCGCGGAGGCATTTCACGAAGGGTTTCGCTCACGAGACAGCAGTTTAGCCGAGGTGCTGGCGCGAACAAGAAAATTGCTTCAACCCACATTTGTGCATAAGAAACTCCGTGATATTTTTCTCCTAAGGGGCTGGATATTTGCAAGGTGGAGATTTTCTCCTAAGGGGCGGGATATTCGCAATGTGGAGATATTTCTCCTAAGGGGCTGGATATTCGCAAGGTGGAAATTTTCTCCTAAAGGGCAGGATATTCGCAAGGTGGATATTTTCTCCTAAGGGACAGGGTATTCACAAGGTGGAGAAATTTCTCCTAAGGGGCTGGATATTCGCAAGATGGAGATTTTCTCCTAAAGGGCAGGATATTCGCAAGGTGGATATTTTCTCCTAAGGGACAGGGTATTCACAAGGTGGAGAAATTGGAGATTTTCTCCTAAAGGGCTGAATATTCGCCAAGGGGGAGAATTATTAGGTATGACTCATAATACCAGAATTTGGAGTCTCTTGGAATGAAGAGAAGTCTCTTGGAATTAAAGAGGTGTGTCTCTTGGAATTTAGAGGGTTGAGATCAGCGTGGGCGCAGCAGAAACATGGTGGCCCAACCCACAGTGGTGCAGGTGTAACTCCCAGGTATTTTTCTCCTAAGGGGCTGAATATTCACCAAGGTGGAGATTTGTTATGGTATGACTCATATACCATATCGGAACAGACGCTGGATCGAAGCGGAGCGGAGCGGAGAGGAAGAATCTGTCCAAATCGGGAAGTTACGTTATATGGGTTGGGGCTATACGGTACAGGGGTAATTTGGGAATTACATATTGTACTGTAGGGTTTACTCTAGGATTATAAATAGGCCTGTTTGTAATCCTAAGTCTTCGAGAGAGTTGAATTTTGTATTCTGCATTCTTTTCTGAATATTGAAAAGGAGGTCGCCGCTCTGCTCCCGAGGATGTAGGCATCTTTGCCGAACCTCTTTAAATCTTTGTGTTCTTCTGGATTTGTGTCGATTGTTATTTTTCTTCGCCCTAATTTTCTCAACATTATCTATTATATTTTTTATCTTCTTCCTCTCTCTCTCTCTCTCACACACACACACACACATACACACATGCGCGCGCACACAAATACAAAACACTCATTTCTTATTCCAACCTGTAAATTATTTCCGAAAAGAATATCATAAACATTATATTTGAGTCCTAATTCTTCATCCAAAATGCCAAACTTTAATATTGAAGTCATGAATCTATCTAAAGTTTTAGGTGTTGCTAATTTATGACCCATATTAAAAAAAAAATCAATAATTATTATTTTTTAATTGCTTTTGTTTAGTTATAACCTTGAGTATTTTGGGCTTTATTTCTATATTTATTTATTTATTTATTTTGATTAGCTACCTTGAGATTGCTTTGAGGCAATTTAACAACAATTTACTTCGTTCTGTAATCCTTCTAAGAAAGCAACAAAGAGTTCACTCTACTCCTCCCCATTCTTCTCTTTACAAATATCATTTCCTTGGTTTAATCTGCACCTGGAACAATATTTAGTTCAATTATTGGTATTAGAGCTATCAAACTTCATCCAAATGATGTAATTAAGAAGGTTTAGATACAAAGGTTCACGAGAGAAAATGAATTAGTTTTTTGGTGAATCAAGATGAGGGCACTCCTAATCCATCATGGGCATGTGAATTCAATTTTGAGAGAAAGCATGCATCCATGATAGATAGAGCACGAGCAAGAGAAATCTAATTGAATGCTCATAGTGTTCTTCTCCTTTCATTTGACAATCAGGAATTGAAGAGATAACTAAAGAGTCATCAACTATAGATGCCCTAGAAAAACTTGAATCATTGTACTTGAAGAGATTTTTGAAAAATTGATTGTTCTTGAAAACATCATTATATACACTGCAAATGGATGAATTCAAAAATATTAATCTTAACCTCAAGAAAGTAGATGTGCATATTGGTAAGAAAGATCAAAGTATTAATCTTCTTAGCTCACTCCTTAAATCATATAAGCATATAGTAGACACCATGTTAGATGAAAAATAAAACTTGATTGTGATTAAGGTAAGATCAATCTTGGGTAAAAAAATTTTATGACAAAATCTAAAATTAAAGAAGAGAAAAATGGGGATGGTTTAAATAAAAGTAAAACATGAATTACAAAGTTAGAATTTGTATTAAAAATAAAAGTGATGCGCTTATATTTTTCAATAACTCAGACCATCTAGATTAGAACACTTGAATAATAAGGAGAGATAGAGACAAAGGAAAAAAGAGATAAAACGAGGTAAAACTAAAGAAAGAAAACCCTACGATTGTTATTGCTCGGAGAAAGCAATAGTACAAAGTGTGTAGCAAGAATTTTCATATAAGTTACTTATATTGTTACACGAGATTGAGTTCCCTAAATCTTAGCTTTCACCCCTCATTTGCATATATGAGGAGATGTTGATTATGCTACATAATTATTTTTAAGGAAAAAAATTACATAAGCACATGGAAATATATCGTACATGTCTCTATAGGATGCCAAACTGCTAATTAGATAAGATGTCGACTTAGCTAATTGATCATACTCGTGTTGAAGATATAATGAATACATGATCTCTTAGGCCACTATGATCGAGTTGTGAATTGATAAACAACACAGTAGCTGAGAAGTAGTCTCTTTACTTCGTGAATCGGTAAGCATCACACGAGCGGCCATTTGAATGGATCTGAGGATAAATCAATCTTGAGTGAACATGGGTTTTGATAGAGTCCTCAAATATTTGTTCATATATCTAGACTCAATTTTGTAATCAAATGAATTTTATATAAAATTTAATAAGTTTAATTTGAAGATAGATTTTTTGGCAAAAAAAAAAAAAAGGAAAAAAAAAAGAAGAAGAAAAGTTTTTCCCGGTGGCAAATTATGTAAATATATGGTCAAGAAAATCCAACTCATTTTCATCAGAGTCTCGGCTGTCAAATTACGCCCCCTAATTGAGGTCCACGCGGTATAAATTAGCATAATTTGTTAACGCTGACAACTTTAAATAAAGTGTGAAAATAAATATATGTTTTTATATATATATATTTTTGCTCTTAAAGAATCTCCTTCAATCAAAAATGTATTTATTCCCTTCACCGCAATGTGATTCCCTTTTTTATTCTGCTAATCTCAAAAAGAATTTAATGATCTTTAAATTTACTTCAAAAAACAATCAAACATCCTAATTTTTTTATTTTTTCAATGTTGAAGCTATTTAGTTGGACACACGTTTATCTTACAACAAATATTATCTGTAATACACTTTCATAATGATGAGAAATATAAAAAGGAGCAAATTGTAAATCTATAAAATGTTTTTTGCATTAAAGTTAGTTCAAAATTCAATTTTTACTAAAAAAACTTGAAAAAGAATTGAGATCGATGGCATCATATAGTGGTTGAGAGTTATTTTATTTTATTTTGTTTTTATATGTGGCCAATATCTTATTATTGATAATCAGCAGGCTCATCATTTCCAATATAATAAAAAAAAAGGGCCAGAAACGATTTACATCTGCCAAAATTCTTTCTTTTCTTATTGTCCCGAACGCGCATAAAGAAAGGGCATTGTTCAGAGCGGAGCGGAGGAGAGGAGCCGTCCAAAACCATCACCTCCGTCAGTTTCCAGCTGTCAGCTCGTCGCTTTCTTTGGGATTATCTTTAATTACCTCCATAATCTCCGTTACATCGCTGGTAATTACAGGAGACGAAAAAGATAAAATTTTGTTGAGATTAGGGTCTCCTCTTCTTTCCCTCTCCCCCCCTCTTTTTAATCCGAAGACGTGTTGGGTTGTTCTTGCACCGAGGTGCTTGCTGGTTTTTGTCGGTGTTATATTGACCGGAGGAAGAAGAATAAGACCGCGAGGAGGAGCATGAACCGCTTCTCTGAGCTGTGAGGATGGGAATATGAGAGCTTGATTGATGCGCGAGATTACGAATTACTTGCATTGTCTTCGTTCCACTCCAAGCATCGAAGTGCATCTAGGGATTTGATTTCCGTGGGCGAATTTGAAGGAATAAGTTTAAAATCCTTACAGCTTTTGTTTTTCGCTTTTCTCTGCAATGTCGCCTTCATTCGATTGGTGGTCAAAGGATAAGCACAGAGGGACGCCGGTGATTGTGAAGATGGAGAACCCTAACTGGTCGATCTCGGAGATCTCGTCGCCGGACGACGGCGATGCCGACGAGTTTTCCGGTGTACGGAAGGGCGGTAGAGAAAAGAATGCAAAGCAGATTACTTGGGTGCTCCTCCTCAAAGCCCACCGAGCCGCCGGCTCCCTCACATATCTCGCCTCCGCCGCCTTTCACCTCGCCGCCGCCGTTCGCCGCCGCGTTTCCTCAGGACGCACGGACGCCGACGAGAGCCCGGCTCTTCGCCGCCGCTTCTACTCTTGCATCAAAGTCTTCCTCTGGCTTTCAATCTTCCTCCTTGCTTTCGAGATCGCGGCTTATCTCAAGGGATGGCACATCAGAGCTCCAGACCTCCCTAGCATATCGCTCCCCTCATCAGTCGGCTTTCGTAGCCTCTTTGTTGCCATTTACTCCGGCTGGGTTCGCTTCCGCGCTGAGTACATCGCTCCTCCTTTACAGTTCCTCGCAAACGCATGTGTCGTCCTCTTCCTCATTCAGAGCGCCGACCGCTTTATCCTCTGTCTTGGCTGCTTTTGGATCCGCTTCAAGGGGATCAAACCTGTTGCGAATTCTGTAAGCAACGACGTGGAAATGGGTGATTATTTCCCAATGGTTCTGATTCAGATGCCCATGTGCAATGAGAGAGAGGTGAGCTTGCAAAAAGTTTATAATTTGTGAAATTTATATTGCATTTCTCCATTGAAATTCTCAAATTTAGCTTGGTAAGTTGGCATTTTGCAGGTCTATCATCAATCAATTTCTGCTGTTTGCAAATTGGACTGGCCGAGTTCTAACATGCTCATCCAGGTTTTGGATGATTCCAGTGATCCCACAACGCAGACTCTTATCAAGGAAGAGGTGGAGAAGTGGGCGGAAACTGGCGTTCCAATTGTGTACCGTCACAGGGTTATCAGAGATGGTTACAAAGCTGGAAACATGAAATCTGCAATGAACTGCAGCTATGTTAAGGACTACGAATTTGTAGCTATCTTTGATGCCGACTTCCAGCCCGCACCAGATTTTTTGAAGAGAACCGTGCCCCATTTCAAGGTCTCAAGCAAGGGGTTTTTTTTTTCAGGACCATTAAATTTTTGTTTTTTTATAGTTGAATTGTGATTCTGATTTTGATTTTGATGGTTAATTCCAGGGTAATGATGATTTGGCGTTAGTGCAAGCTAGATGGTCATTCGTGAACAAAGATGAGAATTTGCTAACCAGGCTTCAGAACATCAATCTTTGCTTCCACTTTGAGGTGGAGCAACAGGTGAACGGGATATTCATCAACTTCTTTGGATTCAATGGGACTGCCGGAGTTTGGAGAATTAAGGCTTTGGAGGATGCTGGAGGGTGGTTGGAGAGGACAACAGTGGAGGACATGGACATTGCTGTTCGGGCTCATCTCAAGGGCTGGAAGTTCATTTTTTTGAATGATGTTGAGGTTTGCAGATCAACTCTATGGCGCTTTTACGCAATTCATACATTTTCTATCAAATTTTCATTTCTAATCTCAATCATAACTTCATTATTTTGGCATTTGTTGCAGTGCCAGTGTGAATTACCAGAGTCCTATGAAGCTTACAGGAAGCAGCAGCACAGGTGGCATTCCGGTCCAATGCAATTGTTCAGGCTTTGTTTGTCAGATATAATCAGATCGAAGGTATATATTAATCAAGGAATTAAATATTTAATACTTTGTTTGTCTTATCTAATTTTTCTTATATAATTTTAAAGTCATTAATTTTGTTCATTAGACTGTCGTTTCCTTGGTTAAGGGATTATTAAAAGATGTGAGGCAACTGTAAACATGTGAAGTTCTGCATCTTTTTTTTTAAACAATTTTTTTCAATAATGTGAATAGAATAATACATATTTTGGAGATTTTTATGTTTTTTTATTTTTCCTTTTTGAAATTTTCACTTTTGAATCTGTAGGGAACCCTGACCAATTCTATTGACTCACTAGTTTAAGGAATGGAATTTATGCCTTCTAAATACAAAATTTTTCCTTCATAAAGTGAGTACATAAATAGGGAAAAACCCAGACCCTACCTTTCCCTTCCCACATGATGCAAATGTACTGAAAAATACAAATAAATTTCTTGTCTGAACTTCCAAGTATGAACATTTATTAGGTAGAACAAACCTTGCTGCATATATAGTTAGGTATTATTACGTATGCTTAAATGTTAGGTTGACACATAATATGGGCATCAAGAACAAACATAACAACATTATCGTGTGTACCTACATTTAATATTATATTTATACACAGGGTATCACCAGCTGTTTCTCAAAATTTTGTAAATTTCTCTATTGTTATTTCTGCAAGTCGGTTAGCTTTTGTTCATTGTAGGATTTTTTTTTTCACCTTTGTTGAATATGAGGATTTGTTATGGGTGTGCAAACGTGTGTATTGTTGTGTATTTTGCTGTTTTGCTCTATGCAAAAAGCATACATAACAAAATATAAAGTAATACATAACTTTGCCCACCTAAATTTATGTAGGTTGATTGTATATAATAATCCTTACATTGAGTCACTTTTTTTAAAAAAAAATTATAATACATTTTGATATGGGTAGGGTTGCAAATGAACTGATTTAAGTAGTGCATCTTTCAAGCTCTTTCATTTATTTTCTTGCCGACGTTGCGCCTGTTAGAACATGCTGCGAGTTTCACAATCTTGTGTAATTTGAGGTCAAGCTGAATTCAGGATGCAATTTAGCATCAAGTAAATCTAACTGATGCTTATAAACAAATGCTCTTTTTGGTAACAACTAATATGTTTATGATTTTATGTAAAAATTGAATATTGTTTATTCAGTATTATTTATGATGTTTTATGAGTAATAAAATTAGATTTTTACACTACATACCTATCTATCTATTAATTATGTTTTTATTATCAAATATTAATTACAAATCAAATTAGCATTACAATAAAGCCATTTGTTATTTTGTTTAATATACTTTTTTTTTTATAAAAATAATGTTAAATTTTAGCTCTATCCATCTAGCTATCTTCTCAACATCTTCATTGTATTCATACCATGTAATATATATAATTTTTTAATTGCATAAAATACAGCAAAGTAATATAATAATGTAGAATAAGCTATAAAAACAATTAAATCATTATTAAATGACATTTATTTAGCCCTTAGTGAGCTCAAACAACAAACAAGCATATTCATGAATGCAAATGAACAAACAAGCCAATATTCAATTCTGTTCATTTATTTGTGGAGCTTTAAAATTTTGATAGAACATGTTTAGTCATCTAAATGAGCACATTATGAACGAGCTGTACATCGAGCTAATTCGTTTCCATCTTTCTCAACCTTGAATGTTTTTAATGTTTGATTTTCATTATTCAGTTGCAGCACTTATTTATGTTTCACACTCGTTTTTTTTAAAATTTATTTTGCTTTAGTAATGGTTATTCAAATTCATCTGGAATTTCAGCTTTCAGCTTTAGCATTAGTTTCTATAACACCCTTTCCTTCAATTTCTGTGCAGATTGCAGTCTGGAAGAAGGCAAACCTCATCTTTCTATTTTTCCTGCTCCGAAAGCTCATATTACCATTCTATTCATTCACTCTCTTCTGCATCATCCTTCCCATGACAATGTTCGTCCCCGAAGCTGAGCTCCCCGCTTGGGTAGTCTGTTACATCCCGGCAACAATGTCCTTCCTCAACATCCTCCCCGCTCCACGGTCATTTCCGTTCATCGTCCCCTACCTCTTGTTCGAGAACACAATGTCTGTCACGAAGTTCAACGCCATGATCTCCGGCCTTTTTCAACTTGGGAGTGCCTACGAATGGGTCGTTACGAAGAAATCTGGTCGTTCTTCGGAAGGCGACTTGCTATCTTTGATTGAGAAAGAGCCCAAGCACCACCGCGGCAGCTCCGCTCCTGATTTTACTTCCATTACAAAAGAAGTTGTAAAGCAGTCAAAGAAAGAACAGAAGAAGAAGCATAATAGGATCTACAGGAAGGAGCTCGCTCTCGCCTTTCTTCTCTTAACTGCTGCCGCCCGCAGCTTGCTGTCAGCCCAAGGCATACACTTTTACTTTCTGCTGTTTCAAGGTATCTCCTTTTTGGTGGTTGGTCTTGATCTCATTGGGGAGCAGATCGAGTAATACTCAGTATAAGACGTGTTCTGTGAATGATTCAAGGAGAAGACTGAACATTTTTTTGTTTTATTTTGCCTTTAAGCTCAAGTGGAGAAAGGAACTAGTGTAGATAGAGCTATTCTCAGCCCTGTTAGATGCTTCAGATTCTTTCAGGTCTTCATTCTTTTACCAAGATGAAAGCTTTATGTTAAGTTTTATTTTAACTTAAAAAGAATTCAACCATTTCTTCCCTTAAGTGAAGAAAATTTAAGTGTACCAGAATGAATAACATAATTATGTTGCCTGCGTTAGAAAAACAGGATTGTGTGATGTCTTGGTGCATCTGTGAATCTCAAACGGAATTCATGGATTATGACTATATTTTCAGAATGTTTGTATGAGGTGAATATAAATAACCAATGTGTTTTCTCATTGTGTGGGGGAAACGACCATTTTGTTATACCTTTATTTTTATTTTTATATTAACTATCAGAAAATTAAAAATTATATATATCCAATTAACTAAGACATAGTGGTTGAGGGTGTAGATTACCGACATTGCGGGTGCTTCATTTGCATCTTATTTTAGTTCAAAACCTTGTGCCAAAGCTATGTGTTTAAGTCATGCTTAATGTGCAAGTTTTTTTTTAGCTATATGTTCCTACTAGAAGGCGCTCATTCATGATGAGCTTTAGGGAGGGCCCAGGAAATTATAATGCTGTATTTGAGATTCATGCTCAACTATCATGTCCTTGGTAATAATAAATGAATTGACTCGGGTCACTCGTGAAGAAATTAAGATAGTTGGAGAACTAAAACAGATGCCTTTGTTAATAATAAATGAACTGAAAGAGACCCAATGTCTCAATATTAAAATACTTGGACATGGAAAAGAAAAAAACAAATGTGCTTTCTGGTTTTCAAATTGTGATGATAATAGTATAAAACTTGACAAATGTAATTTTGTAAAACTTGCGTTAGCGGCAATCAGATTTGTTTCATCTTGATTGATATGCCCGGATTGATTTCCAATACCTTCTAGTAGCCCCCTCGCACCCTCCCCCCTCGTGGATGGGTGAAGGTTAATGTGGATCGAGCCCTCTCTTCGGCTGGTTTGGCTGGTATAGGGACGGTCATTCGGGATGAATTGGGCATTGGCTTTGGGGCTATTGGGCAACACTACGAACATTGGGATAGTACGATGGTGGAACTTCAAATGGTCGCTTCCATCCAGAAGATTTGTGAGCCTTGCATGAGAGAATGTAAATGCATCATTGTTGAAGGTGACAATTTGAAGATCATAAAGTTTTTGCAAACCAACCATTTTGCAGAAGATGACTTCGTAACTCCAACCCAAGAATGCTCCAAATTTAGCTTGCTTATAAGTTTTAAGCAAATTATTTTTCGGCATATTCATAGAGATTGCAATAAGGCAGCTGGCTATTGTGCTAAGCTTGCTTTATATGATAATTTTTGCTGTAATCATATTAGCGAGGGGGTAGTTTTTTGTTCTCTTTGCTTTCTGAGGATGGAGCTTATTTTTTTTGTTGGTTGACTAACTCATTTGCTTGGCAAACTCCCAAGTTGTTTGGGAAAAATTATTATAAAAGTTCGATCATCATTAATCTCAAAGCAGAGTGATAATGCAGCTACCAAAAAGATATATAATATACTGGTGCTCGATGGACGACTGCATGTTTCATACTACTTAGATTGGGAGCTACAAGAATAAACTTCTTCGAGAGAATAGATGTTGGTAATTGTATAGTCGATTGTCGACTGGCACTGCTCAGATTAGTAAATTGGATTCCCAAGTCTACTTGTTCTGCCAAGCTAACAAGTTGATGAATAAGAATAGCTGAGTATCAGTTGTGGGGTATGAGTTACCATTTGTTTACTGCAATCAGTCAATGAGCGTGAAGCTTGGTTGAGACACTGACCTACTCACTGAATGGATCATGTCCGCCTTGTCGTACAGATTAGCTCAGTCAATGAGTTGACTAGTGTTCAATTATCTCCAAGGTCGAGTAGCTTGGCAAGGATGTGACCTGAAGAGTGTTACGGGAAATAGATGCTGGAATATGACGTTGCTAGAAATAATAGTAATCATATTGTTAACTAAACAAAATGAATAAATAAATTGATGAACTTTCGGGATTTGTGTGGGATGAGTGGCTATTTTTTGATAGATGAATATTTTTTTTTGTAAATAGGAAAAAATAATGTAATTACATAAAGGTATAGAATACATCATTTGAACAAAAAAAAAAAATTGCATGGTTTTGTTTGTATTAAACGTTAAAAAACACAATTATCTACATAAAAATGGGGACTGAACATGTTGAAAAGCATTTAATGACTTCTCCTTTTCTTTTGTTTTTTTATTGTGAGATATTATTTCTCTCATCCTTACATCTAAATCCCTTTATTAGCCTATGATTAAGGGATGCATTACAAGGAGTATATGGGTTCAAAAAATGAAGGTTTCACATTATAATATTAATGATCGGCTATAATAAAATTTTTTTAAAGCATCCATTATTGTACACCCAAAAATGATCTGTATGAATCTTGAGACAATCAGACGGTCCAAGACATAAAGACTAAAACAACCTGTATTATAAAAATGTAATATTTTATTTCCTTTTTTTATTTGTTATAAATATAGGACCCATGACATGTATTAAAGCCTTGGGCTCTCCTCTCTCTAAAACCCTCATGTAGAGAGAACTCTCCCCTTCCTCTCTCTTGCAAACACTATCTTCAAAGGCATAAAATGGGTCAAAGAGCCTGAGAACACCCCTCTTCGCTATGCGGGTCAAGTCTTGCTCTCTTCCTGTTCTTCTCTTTCTCTATCTTTTCTCTTCTTTGGTCCCTAAGCTTTATCACTCGTGCATGATCAGACAAATTTGGATACAATATCCTAAAAGGTGTAGTGTTCATGGAGTGTGAGACAACAAAAAGACGAGCACACCAAGAGGGAAAAAAACCTAAACAGAGAAACAAAAAAATATAAGTTTTTTTTTATCTTTAATTGTTTTTTCAAAAGAAAGAAGAAGGAAAAAGCAAAAAAAAAAAAACAAAAGAAAGGAAAGAAAGAAGAAGAAATAAAAAATCTCTCTCAAACTCTAAGCATCTCCAAAAAACCATCTCCAAACACGACTCTAAAGAAGCTCAGCAGTAACAAACACCGCGAATGGTACAACAAAAATCACCCCAAAAGAGAGTCTTAGTGCTCACCTTCGCGAAAGCAACAACAAGATCAGCCTAATACCTGATGAAATGTGCGGCCCTGCCAAGGCAACGATGCAACGGAGCAAACAAGCATGTGAGGAGTAAGAATTGAGTTGGGAAAATAATGCATCTACCAAAAATCTAAAAACTATCTAACAATCCTATCAAAGAACAGGTCGTCGATAAACACACCAAAAATCAATCCAAAAAGAAAGCAAAAAACTACAAAGAACTAAAGTATTATAGCTAGTGATTAATGAAATTATATTTTCTGTATTAATGAGTTTTTCATTTTTATTAAAGCTTTGCCATCAACAAGTAAAAGACATGGGGGTTTAATGTATAATAAGAAAATATCACCACCTTGTCAGGTCAAAGGAATTACCGTAGTAATCGCATCTGCAGTCTAGTCTCCCTTAGGCTGACCACCCTTGACCAGCAGCCTGAAGCCGACCGATTGGTCATATTGAGCCGGCCACCTGCCTACAGCCGACCAGCCGATCACCAACTTTAAGCCCGCCCGATCACCCTGATCAGCCACCACATTCAGTTGGCTACCCAACATGGGCCAACCATTACAAGCCGAGTCACGAAAATCCAACTGGCCGGCCACTAGACACCAATCGACAAGCCACCTTGGCCGACCACCCCTAACAACTAGCCTCCCTTCCTTGGTCGGCTACCCGATGCCAACGAACTCCTAACTTCTAGAACACAAGATATGGCCAAAGAAAATTAAGGATGAAAATACTCCGTACTACCCTCTTTAAAGCTAGGCTAAGAATATAATATTGTATTTTCTATTGTAGCATATATGTAAAATATAAAATAGAAGATCAACGATGAAGCGAAAAATAGAGCTAGGAAATTCACACCAGAAAATAGTAACACAGCGGAGCACACAAATTTACGTGGTTTGGCAAATTGCCTACGTCCATGGAGTTGCAGATAATTTTACTACTTGATGAGAAATTTACACCAGTCGATCGTCTCGACTTATAAGAGGGATCTTTCACTTCCTTGCTTTTTCTTCTTTTCTCTCTATACCGAGATACACTGAAGAAGATAAACTTACAAGAGAAATAAACCAAAATTTTCTTTTGCCACAAGCCACCAAGAAGAAGATAAGGGAGAACAATCTTCTTCTTCTTCATTCTTCTTCCTTCTGCAACAAGGAACTACTATTTGTACTTCTCTTCCTCTATCCCGCGGAAGCCCAAAGAAGAACACAAAAAAGCCCGTATCCAAACACTGAAGGAGTGTCGTTGAGTTTTATTGCAATTGAGAGAGCCCATCGGTTCGCGACTGAAGAGGCGAGAAGCGAACCGAAGCTTCGCTTCACAGAAACAGAAATAGGTGGAGGCGGGAGCGACGAGCGGGAACAGATAATTATATATATATATATATATATATATATATATATATATATATTGCTTCTTTTAAACTGGGTTCCACTCATCAAATCTCCCACTAGGAGACCAGTGCACAGACTAAAACGTCTTCTTCCTCAAACTAGTATCTTTCACTAGCGGCATAGCCCTTTTCTTCAAACATGAGTCCATAACCTCTGCAACTCAAAGCCCTTGTTTTCACACCAGAAGACCAACTGAAGCTTTGCACAACTTCAATTTCTCAAGAGTAACATCCTTAATCAACATATCAGCAGGATCCAAATAGCCTAGCACCTCCAAGCTATTTCCTGGATTATTCTTGTACTCCTTGTCTCTGCTTACAACTCTCATTGCATGGGCAATATCCTGCATCTGCTAAAAGCCTTTTTCAACAAGTCTAGTCTTGTACCTCTTACTGCCATCAAGCTCAGTCTTCACCTTGTACACCCACTTATTTTGTAATGCCCTCTTCCCTAGTGGAAGTTCTGCCAGCTCCCACTAGCTCGAATTTTCATCTTGTAAGATTTCTTCATAGCACTTTGGTTCTCCAACACCTATCTGTGAAACAATAGGAATGGGTGTCCCAAACCCACCTCTTCACTTCCAACATTTCCCTGCAATGTGGCCTCTGGTAGATAAATTTCTATCACATTCAAAGCATCTTCATCTGCCAGATATACTTTCTCAAAGTCATCTGAAACCTAATTTTGCATCAATTCCCGATGGAATGCTGTGTGGAAAGAAACCCCTGAATCCAATATCCAGTTATCAACAGAACTATGAATTGCTAGTAATTTTGCATCATGTACTTCT